AAGTATCTATCTAACATTCCTTCACTAATTTGGAACGTGTCTTTTTCTATTATAATACCTAGATTCTGTCCTTACGCAATTTATCTGACTAAAAGCTTGTTACGAGATTTAGGTACAGTCCTCTCAACTTAAGCTGAGAATTGCATTTGTATGAGTGCACACCGATAGTGTAGAGTGGCAATCGGCTTGAGGCGCGGCGCGTCCCGCGCATGGTTTAAACCGGTTTATACTAGTTTATAGCAATCGGCCTGAGGCGCGGCGCGTCCGCCACGCGTCACTTCCCTGCCGCTCACATACTTCACTTCACCCCCGGTACTGGTAGCAGATAGACGTGTAATTTTATGTAATTGTGTTCCAAATATTAGTGAAATGGCTCCTACTGTAACTGAATTTCCTGTACGAAAACCATTAAGCAGGCAAGTGAAAGAAATTGTATGCTAATTGAATACGTATTTGAAAGGTGTAAACGAAAAGTTTTTAGTCTGTTTTTATTTTGTAATTTTATAAATTTGTTCGTCTTTTTGTTGTATTTTGTAAGGCTGGCTGGACGCCCTCTCTATAAACGGTGCTCGCAGAATATCAGCGTCGAGGTACTTCGTGCCTTGGCAATTGGCATATGCTGAGCGAGGACCTGTTTTTATTTATTTATTTATTTATTTAAAAGGATGTGTCAAGTGTCGTTACATCGGCCCAATTGGTAGCTAGTGTTGTATGGAGTTCCTTTTAATAAAACATTAATTTTATTTGTATGTGTTTTACTAACTGTACTTTTGGCGATCACTCACACAAATGCAATTCTCAGCTTAAGTTGATAGGACTGTAAGTTCTTGTAGATGTACCTATTATTTACCTATCCGTGTTTTTTTTAGATTTACTTTAAAATTAAGTTACGTTATGAATGTATTTTTGTTTATAGCCTGACCAGGAACATAAAAACCCTGGCATAGAGGCGCGTCAATTGCATTTGATAGTGCAACACTGAGTACAGTCGTACCTGTGTTAAATTAATAGGCTAACTTTATGTATCAGGATTCAGGATTACGTCCTAATTAATTGATATTTTCATAAATTAACGAATAAAGATTATATAGGTAATCTGGTTTAAATAAATTAANCGTGCCCTATAAATATTGTGACGTGTGCCATTGGTTCGCCATCCCTGATCTAGACTTAAGTTCATTAATGCCTAGTGTCCGACCGAATGTTCGGTTTCGGTTTCGTTTTCGGTTGAGTTTCGGTAAAAACACGAGTTTCGGTTTAGTTTCGTTTTCGGCGGCAAACTTGCCGAAACTACGACCGAAACCGAATGTGCATTCGGGAGTTTCCGCGCTGTTATTGGTCATGTTCGGCGCGTTGAATTAGTGAATGAATCCGATCAGAGCCAAGCCAATGTCGTGATTCGCTCGCTTGTTTGTTTGCTGTTAGTTTTGTTTTGTTGTGGTGGCGAGTTTTCGAGTGATTTATTTTGAATTTGGTAAGTTTTATAGTAATGACTATAGTGCATTTCATGATGATAATATTATGGATTCAGAGTTTCAAAGTTCATTTTAGTATTTATCACCAAGGTATCCAAGTGGCAAGTACAGTAGATACTAACTTACGTACTACCTAGTACCAATTTTGTTTTGAGAAATTATTAAGGTAAAAGACCCGACCATGCCCGACCATGGGACGGGTTATGTAGATGTCCTGAATATTGCGGCTTTATTAAAAAAAATCTAGACTATAAATCCTTATTTTCTTTTTTAATACATAATTTGATACCTTTGAGAGTAAAAAAATAAAACCGACTCCAAAAAACCTACACTAAAAAGTTGAAAAATAATTACTAATTACCTACTTATTTATTAGGACGAATTAATATTTATGTAGGTATACCATGAGTGATACTTCTGGAGTCGGTGCCAAGATTATGAAACATGTAAAGTTTGCCTGCACCGACTCCAAAAGTATCAATCATGGTATACCTACATAAATTTTAATTCGTCCTAATATTGTAAGTAGGTAATTAGTAACTATTTTTCAACTTTTTAGTGTAGGTTTTTTTTTTTTTTTATAAAATTTTACTTATATCTTGCTTTTTAGTTAACTAATTATTACCTTGATTTTACCACTGAAGGTAGGCAGTACATTGAGACCATATTCTTCATGTCTACTGTAAAATAATATTCCCTACAAAATACAGGTTACCATATAGGAAACCTAAAAATACCTTAAACCGTCAGCCCACCTTAAAAACACGAAAGAATACAACTGTTGGTCTATTTGTAACTATAATATTTAAAGAATTATCTTCCAACTCCTAAGCATTAAGGAGTTGTACCTACCATGACCAGTTCATCATGATGAGATGATGAATATCTGATGTAAACACTTGAATAACTTTAGAAACTATACTTATCTATCTTCCAACTCCTAAGCATTAAGGAGTTTTACCTTCTATCATCAGCTCATCAATATGAGATGATGATTTCCAGGAGCAAATACTTGAATAACTTAAGAAAAAGTTTAAATTTATAAAATTTGAGGGTTGCCCTCGATTTCCCTAGGATCCCATCATCAGATCCTAACTTGGTGACAATGGGACCACCTCAGAAGTGTACCCTATCGAACAAAAAAAGAATTTTGAAAATCGGTCCACAATTAACGGAGTAATCGGTGAACATACATAGAAAAAAAAATACATACAGTCGAACATATTATAACCTCCTCCTTTTTTGAAGTCGGTTAAAAAGGAACTTTATAAGTTCAATTTTAATGCAATTTAAAGAGAAAACAATAAAGACTGACTGATTATAACAACGTTTTCTTTATTTTTCTTTTGTAAGGAAGTTTCGGTTTCGGTTTCGGTTTCGGCCGAAATAGACACCGTTGCCGAAATTCGTTTTCGGTTTCGGTTTCGGTCGTAAAACTTGTTTCGGTCGGACACTATTAATGCCTCCTGCAATGTTTTTCACCATATTATTATAGAAAGCTCTTAATTTTTAACCGACTTTAACAAAACGAGATTCTTAATTCGGTTGGCATAATTTTAACTATATAGATTGGTCCTCACTGTAATTTACTAATGGCTAGACAGTGGCGGCTGTGGCGGCAACTGGTGAGCGCTGAAGCGATAGGACTCGTAATATTTATGTACTCACTATAGTAGGGAATTTAGTGCAATGATTTGTATGGAGACCCCTTCACTTTGGTATAGAAGGCTCATTTTTGCACCAGTTGTTCTTTGGGTGCTCCTGAGTGGATTTCCGTCGGTAGACATCGGGAGCCCCCCCTGTGGTAGCAGGGGGAGGGGGGGCAAGTTTCCTTCTGCCGCGCTTCACTTTAAGGCCCATATCTTCAAAACTATGGGTATTAGGGCAAGTGTTGTGTCATTTTCGGATAATTAAAGGATGGCGAATTCATTTCTATAACAAACTTTTTGCCTTTTCATACAAAATAATAGAAATATGGAGTAAAATTCACAAAAACCAAAAAGTATTTTTTTAAATAAACGTCGTTTACTTTCAAACCACTGGAGATAATCTAATAAAAAAAAATATGTCCTGAAAGCTACATTTATCAGGATTATAAATATATACCATTGTATGGTACTTTTTTTGAAAAAAGTAGGTGAAAAAAAATTTGCCCTAATGCCCATAGTTTTGAAGATATGGGTCTTAAAGTGAAGCGCGGCAGAAGGAAACTTGCCCCCCCTCCCCCTGCTACCACAGGGGGGGCTCCCGATGTCTACCGACGGAAATCTACTCAGGAGCACCCAAAGAACAACTGGTGCAAAAATGAGCCTTCTATACCAAAGTGGAGGGGTTCTTGCACTAAATTCCCTACTACTAGTGGTAGCGCCACTGTAGTCCTGTGTCACTCGCTATAGTGGCGCCAACTGGTGAGATCAAATTTTTCCGTTCTTTTCAAACCGGACGGAATGAACCTGACTAGAATTTGGCCCGGTTTCCACCAGGCGGAATACCATAGAATTCGACAGCGGCGCGAAGGAGGCTATTGGAGAAGTGGAAATAATGAAATCTAATTGGTGATTCAAAACACTTCTCCGCTCTGTTCCGCCTTGGTGGAAACCGGGCCTTAGGAAGGTAGAATAGGTAGCTAGGTAAATAAAACGTAATGTAATCAATTAAACATTTCTCTATATTTCATGTTTAACATAGAACACTGGCCAAACTGACAACTGTATCAATAAACTGGAATAACCACATTTATATGCACTATTCAAAGCAACTACAATAGCAAATAACAGTCATACAATGATCAATGATTACACATAGTACATCTCGCTTAATGTCACCCCAGTGCTTTTTTAAATCTAGGGTACTAGGTACTACCTCGATATGATTAATGTACCTAAATAATAGGCAATGCACATTGCACAATTTTTTTACACAATCATAGTTAAATCTTTCTATTTTAGGTACCTATAATATTATTTTTGTTCCAAAGCCATATAATTTAACTACCTATTCAATATTTTGTAACTGAATTATTGACAGTATCAGGTACTATTTAACACATACAATGATACAAAGTAGAACTTAAATAAATGTAGGATTTAATAAATATAAAAAAATATAATTTATCATGAAACAAGATATTAAAACTAAAGTTGTAAAAGAAATTTATAAAACATTTGAAGTAAAAATGGAACTTTCTACCCTTAAAATATTAAGTGTATTTTCAATAATTATATTATCAAAAACAACAGCGATAAAATTAATAACCTGTAATAGAAATTGGACAAAATTCATTTGTTCGGATTTCTCCTGCTGAACTCTCTTGAAGTAGCATCCATACAGTATTGTGAGTGAACTAAAATATTATTTCTTCTAAGAACTACATTGTGTAGTATTTATCCAATCAAAATGCGTAGCACAGCCATTAATAATAAAAATTTAACATAGGAAGATAGATAATTATCTAATTGGCATAACACTTAGTGAATTGCAAATAGTGTAGTATTTTCTAGTCCATCCAGTGTTTAGATTAAGNTTTAACAACAGATCTTTTCGATGCATTATCACTTACAAAATTAAATATTAGCCATGAATGCCATGATAATAATAATAAATAAGAAAAATACTTTTACTTATAAAATTAACATGGAAACCTAGGAGTTCTAAAAAACTAGTCAATTTTAAACAGTGCTTACATTGTAATCTAAATTAGCTGTATTTATTACTGTTATTTCAGGCCTCATAAAAAAGTATAATAACAAAATTTGTCTGAAATTCTGAATCGACTAGAGTCGAGGAAGATATTGGCGCCCAACATGGTGATCAGATCAGAGCTGATAATTTTCAGTCATTTACAGTAATAAATTGTTTCAAAAATTCGTCGTATTTCGTCCTGAGTAAATTGTGAAATATTTTCAAATATGCAACAACAGTCTAAATTCTAAAACATAAGTAACCATTGCATTCAGCATCAGCACTCTAGTTTCATAAAAATAGCACAAAAAGAGAGGACCATGAAAAATACGAGTATTCTTCTAATACAAATTAGGTATGAAGGCATTTCATAACATCTCAGAAGTCGGGATAAGTACCTATATTTGGTTAGGTGTGTTTAATACTAATCTAACTGCATAAATATCTAATTACGCATATTAAGGTTATAAATGTATAAATGCTATTAAATTTATGTAACTGGTCTTGGGCGCGCAGGTAAGGGTGGCGGCGCACCGTGTCTGGCAGGAACCGGCGGCGGCGGGCCGGCGGGCGGCGGGGTGCTGCTCGGCGGCGGCGGCGGCGGCGCGCACGACGGCGGCGGCACGCTGTCCGCCTGCGGCGACGTCACAGGGCTCGGAGCGATTATCTTGTTGGAGTCTGGCGTGACAGGCGCGGGCCGAGGAGGCGGCGGGCGCGCCGGACTCACAGGGACCTGCTGCGCTCGCGACGGAACCAAGGGCGTCGGCGACGGCGCTGGGGGCCTGCTGGGCTGCTGTCTGCGCGGCGTCGGCGGGGCGGAACGCAGCGGCCGCTCTACCTGAGCCTCGCCGACTAGCGGAACCGTATTATTCGTGCATAGATTTATTTCAGATCGAACTATGTCGACCCAATCGGGACACTTCAATGTTATGCTCAATGGGATAGAGCAGGCTGATATTTGACCCTTTTGCGCTGCGGCCAATGCGTTCTGTCCATCTCTAAATGTGATGCTCAGAGACTGCTCATCTATGAAACGCACTAGAGTGACTTCGCCGATTGTGGCCAATTCCTGCAGCACAGCTGCCATCACGTTATCGTCAAACACTGACTCGTCGCTATCGATTTCCTCGATGGGTTGCACGATAATGCTTGCGTCGGGAGGACCGAGGTCTTTTACTACTTCATAAAATACTTCCATACATTTGGTGTAACTGACTTGAAGAACCTCCACTTCTAAAATTGCAATAACTGGACGATGGTCACTTTGTTTCAGTTCGGCGCGACCATAGTGAAGCAATTTTCCAGCAGCGAGTTCTGATGTCGTTTCAGGGTCAATGGTGTGTTTTCTGCTTCTCCATAGAACTCTGTCAGTCCAAGCGGGTGCCCGACATTTTTCGCTGGTATCGTAATCATCGCTAAAAAGATCGTATTTATAAGTCGGTGGGAAAGTAATATCTCCTTCAAAACAATTTTTGAAAACCAAGCCTTGCGATTTTTGTTGAATAAGTTGATCTTGTTCAAGCAACCTGTGCATATTGTTCTGCGATACTAACGAACGTACTTCATCTTTGTCAAGATCAATTCTGTAGTTAAAATCGCCGCACCAAAATACGTAATCGTGAGAATACAGTGACCTTCCCATAGGAAAAGCGATTTTTCGCGTGATTTCAGTGTAGTCTGCATTGCGTTCAGTAACTTGAGACTGTCCAGCAGCAAAGTGGGCGCAAACAAAGCACAGGGAAGTTCCATAAATTACCATACGGATTCCTACCGCACCCTTGTTTCCCGTGGCACCTCCTAAGCCAGTTTTAACCGAGTCCAGGGCAACATCTCTAATGTGAGGAACTAAATCTTTTCTCACAAATAGAAATAAACACACACCAACCAACTGATGACATGACAGCAAAGTGTAAGGAGCATCTCTACATAGAACCTTCTCCAGCTCCTCACTCCATGCTTTGGCATTGTCTGAACTAGCTGCCATTATGTTACTGGCATTCAGATCCACTATCTCTTCAAAACCTATAGCAAATATATCAGATGGGTGTTCTTTTAGGTTTACAGTATTCACCAAAGATGAATTAGGACAATCCAATAACCAATCTGCAAGAGATACATCTTTGTATGCAAGACTTCTGAAATGTTTACCACCATTGACATTATAGGTACCAATAGTGATGCGTATGCTCGTTGGTTGGGTAAATTCATTAGCTCTTCGACACATTTCTCTTAGGACTGGGGTTGATGTATGCAAAATATTGGATGGCAGTAAAATTCTGGTTCGGTCTGCTAGTTCCGAGTTTAATGTAGAACCTAGCAATAATATGTCAATAGCTTCTTGTTTGGAGTTGTCCAGCAAATTATTCTGTATAGTGCGGGCTGCAGACCTTGCACCATCAATCAGCTTAGATCCTCCCTGTATAGCACCAGTCCCTGCATAGATTTTTGAAATTTCATTGCCATTATTTACCCACATTTGCTTGAACACTTCTTCAAATCTATTTACATTTTGCTTTTTATCAATGCACTGCAGCAACATTAATTGGATTGCCAGCATTTCCAAACCAATGAAAGTTTGTATAGAATTTGTTCTGTCTAAGCAATCTAAACAATTTGTCCTGATCACACCCTTTTGGATGTTGTAAATATCCTCACCTTTGGCACTGAAGATGCTTATGTCATCATAGTGTTTTTCAATTATTTTTTTAAATTTGGCCAAGGCAGTTTCTATTGAGCCAGCTCTTACTTCCTGGTGATAGTCAAATATGAGCTGGACTACATCAGAATGACTGGATTCATTGAGATGTTTCTGAAATGCATTACTAAGTGTGGCTTCTCCTTCGCTGCCACCAATCAGACTTGATCCAAGGAGATTAACTACAAATACAGATCCATAATTTCGCTTCAATTGAGTGAAATGTCTATCACAGGCACTAGTGGAAGCATCATACCCTCTTGACATTTTCACCTTGTGTGACCCCACCTGAACTCCAGGTTGCTCCCAAAACAATGGTACTGAACCTCTGGTTTGAATGTAGGAAGCCACAGAGTCATCAATATAAATGGCTTGCTCAGTTTCAACAAAATTAGCTACATTACCATCATCATTACATCCTCTCACATTGAATCTAGTCCCTGCCCTTTCACAGCTCAACCGGGACACTAAAGCAGCCCTGGCTTGGCGGTGGCCAACATAGATAGTGCGTATTTCCACCGAGCCACACATGGCTCTGGTGAGCCAGTCATCACAATCAATTCCAAATCTTATCAAATGTATAAATAAGGTTCTGTTCCAAAAGAATCTGTTGTCAGGGTTTGCACCCTTACTTTTTCTTTGAGCACATAGCGTGAGATCAAATAGATTGTCATTATTTTTACCAGTATTCCATGAAAAATAAAAAGTACCAGAGTTGAGAAGCTTTCTTACTTCAGAAACTTTATCCTCATTCTGCGATTGGTAGAATAGCGGTAAAAATTGAGTTTGGGTTATTTTAAACACTTCGACATCGCCGACCTTACCGACGGAGCAGCAGCCCGTGACGAGAACGAGATACAAGAGGCAGCTTTCACCCGAGTTGAGTTGGAGAACGCCCAGGCAGCCGTAGGCGTCAGCGATTTTATGATATTGCTTCTTTAATGTGTCTGTTTCTTGAGAGGACAGAGAAACCACTGCCTGAGACTCGAAGAGTAGCGCTGAGTCTTTATTTCGGTGTTGTAAAATTACACTGTACGGATTCGGGGGCGAAGACTTTTCCAGCACTTTAAAACCTTTTGACATAGCCATGGCTATTGCTAACGTAAATTTAGCATCGAATCAATAGTTATTGATAATTGCGATTATCTATCCATCCGCCCCCCCTAATTTTATCGAAAGATTAATTTTCAGGAAAAATAATCGACCACCACACAAAAACGATCAAATGTCAATTGATTTTTTAATTTCAGCACTGTCTTCTTGTCATGGATATGGAAATGAAATATTAAGCCATGTGCCAAAAATAATCCTTAATACTTCGAGCACTAAACTTAAAAGGAGACGATATCGACCTATTGCTACATTTGTCAATGTTATCACGCAAACAACAATAGCAATCAGACAAAGGGTATGGTTATAAAGTGAAAAATCATATTTATAGTGTCTTCTTTTATTTCTACATGTGTTTAAAATATTATGAACAATAATAAACATAATTATTAATTTAGTAATAGCACAGAATAATAATAAGTACCTACTACGTACAGAAGTTTTTCTTCGCGAAGGTATTCAAAAAATGTATGCTCAATGTCATCAACAATATGGTGTAATTTAGCTTGTCTCAAGAGTCGAGCACCATTTTGTTGACAAACGTCAGTGATCGGCACTGCGCCGAAGCTATAGGGCTGACTTCGGTAAAATGATGTGACGTGAGGTGCCAAACTGCGGAAAATGGCGGAGGAAATACATGATTAATTTAGCATGAATTATCATGAATAACATAACATTAACTACTTATTTACCTCTCAGTGTATTGAGGCAACTTAAAAAAGTACATTCTGTGTTTTTATTATTATTTAGGCAGTTAAATACTGCACATTATTTAGTACACCATTTTCTTTATTTTCTTCCATCATACACAAGAATACGCGTGCGTGAGTCAATGTTCGCTCGTATGTGAGGCCTTGTCGAATAGTATCCTATAGGTGGGCCATCGTGCGTGTTTTGTTTTCGATGTAAACTCGCGGAGATGAACAGGCCTGGTAATAGGTAATTATAACTTAATTAAATATAAAATAACATGAGATACATTAATAAACAATGTTTTAAAGTGACGTTTAGTATGGAAATGTCATTTTAAAACAATGTTCAACAACTTTGTAACTTTTTTATTAGTAAGGGGGTAACATTATAGAGATCGAATTTGATTTTACAAAGTATAAGCAAATTAATTCAGTGCGAAATTAACATATTTCTTGTAGGCGGCTAGGGAAGACGGCGATAGCGTGGTGTGTCCCGTGGTCCTCCGCACGTAGTCTTGGTACACCTGCTTGGAGGCTCGGGACACGGTCGGCGGGATCATGTCCACCGAGCTGTCTATGGTGAAAGCGCTACTCACAGTCATCACCACGTGGATGTCAGACTTGTATTTGGGGTTGGAGCGCTTTTCGAAGTTCACGTAGCGTTTGTATCTGCAATCATAAATGGTTACGGTCAGTATTTTTTTAATCTAATGAAAAAAATATTAATGTCGTTTAGAATTGGGACTTTTAATGGCTTGATTTCAGATTTCAAATGTGAGGTGTCCTATAAATACATGGCCATTCTAGTACATCCGTTCAGCATGATACTTTAAAAGTGCGGTCAATGGTAGGTAGCATAGTGAAATCTCGTTTCTGATATAATATTAGCTGTTGGAGCTGCAGAGATCACTACTTACATGATCATGTCCCGTTTGGAAGGCTCTTTCAGTAAGATCCTATTCGCGCGCTTGATAGCTGGGAAGGGCGGCGTATCGTCCTGTACCTCTGATGCCAATAAACGTGCCACCATGGTAAGCGGCGAAGGCGTCACTTGGCGACTCGGAAACGAGTTAGTTAAGTCGTCGTCCGTTGACGAGTCGCTGTTGGAGCTGAAACAAAATGAGGATGAGAAATAAACATCCCACCAATAGAGACTAAAAATTATTCACGTCTTTGTCAAAGTATTGTTTTAGAGATTTTACAACAATTACTTACTCGCTTGAATTATTAGACGTTGTGCTAGACCGACCACTGATTACAGGATTCTTGGACGTGGGTCCCTTGTTCTGGCCCAGCGCTCGCCCTCGCACCACAAACGGGCTAAAGTTTTCAGTGAAAGTTGGCGCTAAGTCCCTGAGAGTGTGGCACATCTAGAAAATAAATTGAGGATTAAATATTGCACTAAATATTAAAAAATACAAGAAAAAAAAAGAAGTTGTTATGGTCATGGCCACTTTCAACTCAAAACGAAGCCATCTATGCCGTCTCCATATCGTCTCAACACTCAACTGGCAAGAAGCCCGAACTGTGCCGTCTCCTTATTAGACAGCTCGCGCATCTTACAGCACAGTACTCGCCTTGAACTCGAAGCACTCCGCGAACACGGTGTACTCGAAGGGGCGGTGCTGGTCGCTGTAGGCGTCCACCATCTCGAGCGCGGCGCTGTGCTCGCGCTGCACGCCGATGATCTCGCAGCACAGTTTGCGCATCTCGTTGCGCGCCACCGGCAGATGGCGTAGCACGTCGTCGTCCCACCATTTGGTGAGAGATCTGGTCAAAAAATAGTATTCATTATCATCTNCATCATTTTCATCATCATTTCAGCCAAAGGACGTCCACTGCTGAACATAGGCCTCCCCCAATGCTTTCCATGTTGATCGATTGGTAGTGGCCTGCGTCCAGCGCTTCCCACGCTGCGTAAACGAACTAAAGTCGCTGACATAGCCCGACGGATTAGCAAGCTGAAGAGGCAATGGGCAGGGCACATAGTACGCAGAACTGACGGCCGATGGGGCAGAAAGGTTCTGGAATGGAGTCCCTGTACCGGAAAAATAGTATTGTCATTTCAAAATTCAATGCTAGCTGTTATATTAGTACCATCGTTTTGCCGCAAAGAGAAGCGCTAGCGTAGTTTTTTTTAAAGGCGTTCAAAGCGTGATTGCTACTGTTTGTGCTAGCTGTGCCCTCTGCACTAAGTATCCACTCTTCGTCAAATAAATAACTATGAGAAATTACAATAGAGTGGTAGAGAGAGAGGGTATTCTTTTGATCAACTTCGACATTGCAGTCTCACCTGTAGTTAGGAATATACACCATAGCCTCCGGGTGGTGTAGATAATAATCGCTCTGGTAGTCCCATATGGGCGGCTGGAGCGGGTCAGGCACAAACAGGCCTAAGAACAAGTTCATGCTGTTTTGCTTCTCTGCATCCGAGAACGTGTTGGAATAGTACCGGCTCAGAGTCTGCATTATATCGTTGCCGTGGGACGCCCAGGGAGCAGTTTTGCGGTACGTTTTTATTCTAGAACAAGATATTGTGGATAGTGAATACGATTTAAAAAGGAATCAAAGTAAAAAATGCACTAGTCTTTCTTGCGTTCACGCGCTTTTAAAAATGCTCAAGCGTAAATCAGAAAAACACTTATTTGTTAGGATATTTAATATAATTGCTCGTATTTAATAATAATAAATAAATAATGTCAATGATAATAAAAAATAATTATTTTTTTTATAAGTATTGGATATCGACTGACGTCAGATGCTCCGTCGATTCACTCACTCATTCAAGTTCTACTACTCACTCAGTTGTTCACTTTATAGTAATTCGAGCACCGGACAGTCAGTCGCTATCCAACCTCCGTCGTGAACAGACGTCTCGAGGAAACTTTGTGAAGTGTTTTAAAGTGTTTAGTGGTGGAAATACCTACTGCTCGAGAAAACCAAGGTTAGTTATTTTTTATGTTCATTAATATAAAATAAGGAATATTAGTGATTGTGTGAGTTTTATGTCATTAACACTTTCCGTGACAGTGAACTGCTATAGCAGTCAAAACAATTAAACTTCTATTGTGTCTGGGTTACTGTCCGGGAAAGCGTTAATATTTTCATTATGATGTTTTATACTAATTAATATGTATTATTTACGCCGTAATCGTTTTACACGTAATATTATTCCTGAACTTCTTTTAAATGTTTCCTACCTGTGCACCAACTGTGAACCACCGTACTGTAGCGCCAACGTATCTCCGTGGTCTTCATAAAGACCCTCTAGTAGCCTCACGCAGTCCGAATCGAACTCTATTACTGGCTCGCCGATGAATCCCAGGGCGTGTAACTGAAAATAGTTATTATTGTATTGCGAAAATCTTTTGACACTTTTTTGCATTTTAGAAATTAGCAGATTGCTATCGTATATCAATGTTTCATTTCAATTTCAATGCAACCGATGAGTATTTTATAGAATATTATAGAAGCACCACTGTAGAGAAACCTCCTTTTACTTGCTAATGGCTAAGACAGTGGCGCCAACTGCTGAGCGGTGAAGCGGTAGGCGGACTTTCGTGCTTACACTCACCAGCCCACCTAGACTTGTCCTGTTATTGTATTGCGAAAATCTTGTGAAATTTTTTTGGCTGTTTAAATAAGAAGAAATTAGCAGATTGCTATTTTTGATATCGTATATCAATGTTTCATTTCAATTTCAGTGCAACGGAGTATTTATTTATAGAAGTTACTGGCGCTGTAGAGAAACCTCCTTTTACTTGCTAATGGCTAAGATAGTGGCGCCAACTGTTTAGTGCATTAGTTATTTTCGATTCGATCAAAAAGTGCCACTTGTCTACGGGGGCTGTAGGTCTAGACTAGTGATACAATCTCTTCCCCCCCTCACTCCCACCCCGTTAGGCCTGCAGCGCCCACAAGGGGGCGTTATCGCTCACTTTGGGAAAGGCTGTGTTATAAGGTTCGCCTGGCTGACGTCACCATCACCTATCTGATGAGCCAGCACGCACTTGCCGATCGCAAACTGAGCGGTATTGGTCCTGTCCAGACAGTCGACGCAGTTGACCCGTGCCAGGCCCGTCTGCAGGCGGCCGGCCTGGTACCTCACTAATATCGTATACGCAACCATAACAATCATAAGGTCCGGTCTCCACCAAGGAAATGAAATCCGATTGGTTATTCAAATAATTTCTCCGCTCCGCTTTGATAGAAACAGGGCCTTAGGTTCTAAATCGCCTAGCTGACGTCACCCTCAACTACGTGGTGTGCCAGCACGCACTTGCCGATCGCAAACTGAGCGGTATTGGTCCTGTCCAAACAGTCCACGCAGTTGACCCGCGCCAGGCCCGTCTGCAGGCGGCCGGCCTGGTGGCCCGCTATATCGTATACCAATCGGATTTCATTCTGTCAATTTCTTTAAATCTGAATGACCAAATCGCCTGGCTGACGTCACCCTACACCTATCACCTACCTGGTGAGCCAGCACGCACTTGCCGATCGCGAACTGTGCGGTATTGGTCCTGTCCAGACAGTCCACGCAGTTGACTCGCGCCAGGCCCGTCTGCAGGCGGCCGGCCTGGTGGCCCGCTATATCGTATACCAATCGGATTTCATTCTGTCAATTTCTTTAAATCTGAATGACCAAATCACCTGGCTGACGTCACCCTACACCTATCACCTACCTGGTGAGCCAGCACACACTTGCCGATAGCAAACTGTGCGGTATTGGTCCTGTCCAGACAGTCGACACAGTTGACCCGCGCCAGGCCCGTCTGCAGGCTGCTGGCCTGGTGGCCCGCTATATCGTATACCAATCGGATTTCATTCTGTCAATTTCTTTAAATCTGAATGACCAAATCGCCTGGCTGACGTCACCCTACACCTATCACCTACCTGGTGAGCCAGCACGCACTTGCCGATCGCGAACTGTGCGGTATTGGTCCTGTCCAGACAGTCGACACAGTTGACCCGCGCCAGGCCCGTCTGCAGGCGGCCGGCCTGGTGGCCCGCTATATCGTATACCAATCGGATTTCATTCTGTCAATTTCTTTAAATCTGAATGACCAAATCACCTGGCTGACGTCACCCTACACCTATCACCTACCTGGTGAGCCAGCACACACTTGCCGATAGCAAACTGAGCGGTATTGGTCCTGTCCAGACAGTCCACGCAGTTGACCCGCGCCAGGCCCGTCTGCAGGCGGCCGGCCTGGTACCCCGCTAATATCGTATACGTATACGAAATCATAACAATCATAAGGTCCGGTCTCCACCAAGGAAATGAAATCCGATTGGATATTCAAATCATTTCTCCACTCCACTTTGATAGAAACAGGGCCTTAGGTTTTAAATCGCCTGGCTGACGTCACTCTCACGTACCTGATGAGCCAGCACGCACTTGCCGATCGCGAACTGTGCGGTATTGGTCCTGTCCAAACAGTCCACGCAGTTGACTCGCGCCAGGCCCGCCTGCAGGCGGCCGGCCTGGTGGCCCGCTATATCGTGTACCAATCGGATTTCATTCTGTCAATTTCTTTAAATCTGAATGACCAAATCACCTGGCTGACGTCACCCTACACCTATCACCTACCTGGTGAGCCAGCACGCACTTGCCAATAGCGAACTGTGCGGTATTGGTCCTGTCCAAACAGTCCACGCAGTTGACTCGCGCCAGGCCCGTCTGCAGGCGGCCGGCCTGGTACCCCGCTAATATCGTATACGCAACCATAACAATCATAAGGTGGACCTTATGATGTGGAGACCGGAGTCTCCACCAAGGAAATGAAATCCGCTTGGTTATTCAAATCATTTTTCCGTTCCGCTTTGATAGAAACAGGGCCTTAGGTTTTAAATCGCCTGGCTGACGTCACCCTCACGTACCTGGTGTGCCAGCACACACTTGCCAATCGCAGACTGAGAGGTATTGGTCCTGTCCAGACAGTCCACGCAGTTGACCCGCGTCAGGCCCGTCTGCAGGCGGCCGGCCTGGTGGCCCGCTATATCGTATACCAATCGGATTTCATTCTGTCAATTTCTTTAAATCTGAATGTCCAAGTCGCCTGGCTGACGTCACCCTACACCTATCACCTACCTGGTGAGCCAGCACGCACTTGCCAATAGCAAACTGTGCGGTATTGGTCCTGTCCAAACAGTTCACACAGTTGACCCGCGCCAGGCCCGTCTGGTGGCCCGCTATATCGTATACCAATCGGATTTCATTCTGTCAATTTCTTTAAATCTGAATGACCAAATCGCCTGGCTGACGTCACCCTACACCTATCACCTACCTGGTGAGCCAGCACGCACTTGCCGATCGCAAACTGAGCGGTATTGGTCCTGTCCAAACAGTCCACGCAGTTGACTCGCACCAGGCCCGTCTGCAGGCGGCCGGCCTGGTGGCCCGCTATATCGTATACCAATCGGATTTCATTCTGTCAATTTCTTTAAATCTGAATGACCAAATCACCTGGCTGACGTCACCCTACACCTATCACCTACCTGGTGAGCCAGCACGCACTTGCCGATCGCGAACTGAGCGGTATTGGTCCTGTCCAGACAGTCGACGCAGTTGACCCGCGCCAGGCCCGTCTGCAGGCGGCCGGCCTGGTACCTCACTAATATCGTATATGCAACCATAACAATCATAAGGTCCGGTCTCCACCAAGGAAATGAAATCCGATTGGTTATTCAAATCATTTCTCCACTCCACTTTGATAGAAACAGGGCTTTAGGTTTTAAATCGCCTGGCTGACGTCACCCTCTCGTACCTGGTGTGCCAGCACACACTTGCCGATCGCGAACTGAGCGGTATTGGTCCTGTCCAGACAGTCCACGCAGTTGACCCGCGCCAGGCCCGTCTGCAGGCGGCCGGCNTTGAGCGGTGAAGCGGTAGGCGGACTTTCGTGCTTACACTCACCAGCCCACCTAGACTTGTCCTGAAGTGGCAAAACGTGTCGAAAGATAAGTCGAAAGGCCTTTTTTGTATGGAGTTACAACAGATTTATTTTCGATTCAATAAGTGCCACTTGTCTACGGGGGCTGTAGGTCTAGACTAGTGATACAATCTCCACCAAGGAGATGAAATCCGATTGGTTATTCAAATCATTTCTCCGCTCCGCTTTGATAGAAACAGGGCCTTAGGTTTGAAATCGCCTGGCTGACGTCACTCTCACGTACCTGGTGTGCCAGCACACACTTGCCGATCGCGAACTGTGCGGTATTGGTCCTGTCCAGACAGTCCACGGTTGACCCGCGCCAGGCCCATCTGCAGGCGGCCGGCCTGGTACCTCACTAATATCGTATACGCAACCATAACAATCATAAGGTCCGGTCTCCACCAAGGAAATGAAATCCGATTGGTTATTCAAATAATTTCTCCGCTCCGCTTTGATAGAAACAGGGCCTTAGGTTCTAAATCGCCTAGCTGACGTCACCCTCAACTACGTGGTGTAAGCACGCACTTGCCGATCGCAAACTGAGCGGTATTGGTCCTGTCCAAACAGTCCACGCAGTTGACCCGCGTCAGGCCCGTCTGCAGGCGGCCGGCCTGGTGGCCCGCTATATCGTGTACCAATCGGATTTCATTCTGTCAATTTCTTTAAATCTGAATGACCAAATCGCCTGGCTGACGTCACCCTACACCTATCACCTACCTGGTGAGCCAGCACGCACTTGCCGATCGCGAACTGAGCGGTATTGGTCCTGTCCAGACAGTCGACACGGTTGACCCGCGCCAGCCCCGTCTGCAGGCGGCCGGCCTGGTACTCCGCTAATATCGTATACCCAACCATAACAATCATAAGGTGGACCTTATGATGTGGAGACTGGAGTCTCCACCAAGGAAATGAAATCCGATTGGTTATTCTTATTCAAATCATTTCTCCGCTCCGCTTTGATAGAAACAGGGCCTTAGGTTTGAAATCGCCTGGCTGACGTCACTCTCACGTACCTGGTGTGCCAGCACCACACTTGCCGATCGCGAACTGAGCGGTATTGGTCCTGTCCAAACAGTCCACGCAGTTGACTCGCGCCAGGCCCGTCTGCAGGCGGCCGGCCTGGTGGCCCGCTATATCGTATACCAATCGGATTTCATTCTGTCAATTTCTTTAAATCTGAATGACCAAATCGCCTGGCTGACGTCACCCTACACCTATCACCTACCTGGTGAGCCAGCACGCACTTGCCAATAGCGAACTGAGCGGTATTGGTCCTGTCCAGACAGTCGACGCAGTTGACCCGCGCCAGGCCCGTCTGCAGGCGGCCGGCCTGGTGGCCCGCGGCGCCGCCGGTGTCGCAGCACGCGCCGGTGCTCAGAAACATGCCCGTGCGACGGACCACGTTCTTGGCTATTGCTGTTAACCTATAACATAGATAGATGACGTCATTCAAGAGTCTGAGTGGTTTATTTTGAAACATATGCATGCCCGTGCGACGGACCAGATTCTCGGCTATTGCTGTTAACCTTTAAAAACACATGTATAAATTGAGATTAATGACGTCATTAACGTATAGTAAATTCCGGTCGCCGAACAAATATAACTAGCCATGATAATTTGTAAAATGTGTGTGATACAACTATAACTGTAGTAGAAATTGGTCCGTAGACAAAGCTACCCATCCTTATCGCTCGCGCGTAAATATAATGTCGCGCTCGCAGACTCACTGTGCGACAGGCGGCCGCAATAAGTGTGCGAGCGCGACAGCAATATCATACGAAATTCTATCTGCTAAGCACTGGACTTTAGTCAGAGTGGTAGAGCTCCAGGTCCAGGGGTAATCTTACAATGTTTCATTGCTGTTGCTATTTATTATCAAAATATTATTAACTGTTATGTGGGGCACTAAATTAATGTGTTATGACCTTACTAAAGAGAAGATTGGGGGTGTGACAACAAAAAAAGAATATGGCAAGTCCATAAGAAATAATGGTTTGGGGAACTTTGACATAGGTGAACTATAGTCATAAAAGAAACTTTTTTGTCTATCTAGATGGAAAATACAAGCAAAAACTCACTTGTCCAAAACCATAGCATCAGCACCTTTATTCATCCTGGCCATATCCAAATGAATGTACTGTACTGCATGTTCAGGTGGAAGGAACTGGTTCAAATACTTTATGGCATTGCTTATCACATCACTGAGCAGTGACTCATGTTTCTTCTTTTCCCTTTTCTTTACTAAGTTGACAAACATTATCGGCGACCCATAACGTCGCATCAGGTTGTTCAAGTGTTTTCCAGGAATTTCTGCAAATGGATCGCTGAGGTCTATCGAAATTGCTGGTTTAGGCACCATTTTTGACACATCTTGTGACCAGTAGCTGGGTATTGATCCTCTCATCTGAACAAAAGAACTGAATCTGTAAGAACATAAAACAAAAAAATACACAATTGAGTATACCACTTTGAAGTATTGAAGCAAAAAAAAAGTAGATATTTTACCTGCCAGATTTGAAAGAAGACACCATTGAGTCATGGACTATCTGCTCAGTTTCAACCTCATTGGCTACATCTCCATGCATATTAGCTCCTCTTTTCAAAAACCTAGTACCTGCATATCTGTTACTTCTTCTGGCAATAAGCGTTAAATAAACCGGTCTGCCAAATATGTTAAGGTTGCTCTGCTCTACGAATCCATGGACAATGTATAGGATCCAGTCTGGGTGGAGATGTGAGTGCACCGCTGATAACAAGTGACTGTTCCATACAAAACGCCATTCAGGTACAGTCCGCATTCCTATGTCTAGTTTTTGAGCTGACTGCCTGTAATTGATAAAAAAATATCATCAATAGTAACTTTAGGAATAAAATTGTTTGTAATGAGAAATTAACATCTTTTACCCAGTTTTTTCTTTCCTTTGCTGCAATTGCCTCTTCCAAGTCTCAAAAATGTCTTCATCATCTTCTTTCATCTCACAAATGCATTGCTTTTGAGTGTCACCAGTAGATTGCAAAGATTCATACACTGCTGCCGTCACTGGCTTAGGGAACAGCACCGGTGCAAGTTGTCTCGGTGGAGCCATGTTCATTTGTAAAGTGTGTGTGATATCATAACTATAACTGTAGTAGAAGTTTGTAGACAAATCCACAGCCAGAAACATTTTCAGATATCTCTGCTCGTCCGGATGCTGTGGCTTGCTTACGTCACTTGGAATGTAGATCATAGACGTATCCTCTATTTTGTAAATGGAATGGGAGCCGACAACAGCGATTTTTCTTCGTTTTGTGACCAAAATAATGTAATAGCCTTCTAGGAATCTGATAAAACCTGTAATAATGAAACCTTTGTTAGGTTCTTAGATTTATATGAAGAGAAAGACAAAGGCTTCATTCAGATGCTACTAACGATGCAACTCCATTTCTCTTACTTTTTTCCATTCCATATTTCTTTCTTTTTCTGTTTCATTTATTTTCGAGCTGTTATAAGAAAGTCAAATTACTTACCCACAATACCAAATGCAGACACCAGCTTATTGAACCCTGCATTCCTGCCACTTCGGTTCCCAAAGCCAATCATGTTCAGCAGTTGATGGATCTCCTGCTTATTGTACTCTACTTTGTCATCGACTAGAATTAACTCTTTTGGGTCAGTTCTGTCTATTTTAAGTACCCGAAACCTGGTTTGAGTGTTATTTGATCCAATTAGATAAAATCTCTGCAAAAGTAAATGGGAAAATATTAATAAATTTAATAGTGATTAATTGCCATTCCCTATCTCTAAAATAATGGCCATCATGTTTATATTTTAGGGCTAAAAATATCAGTCCTTAACTAAGATATTAAAACTAGGTATGTTCCTGTATCAATTATAGTTATTAATACATCAGCAATACACCTCAGTTTCGTTCGTTCGTTCGTTTCAGCCAAATGACGTCCACTGCTGGACAAAGGCCTCCTCCAAGGTTTTCCACAATGCACACATACACCTCAGTTATAGCATCAATAATGAAAAACGGTAAATAAATAGTCTAGTAAATTAATCAATACTTACAGCTTTAGTTTCGTAAAGTGCAATCCTCTGTATTGAGCTGATGATAGGATGAAACATCAAGTTATGTTTCGACATTGTGGAATGTGGACTGTTTTATTACTAAAATGTAAATATATAAACTGCACCGTTAGGTACACTTATGTAAATGATTAAGTTATTTATTTTGTTATTAAATTGAAAAACTTAAAAATAAACAAAAACAGCTGGGCAGAATCAATCAATGCAGCAATTGACATTTGATTTTTGACAGTGACAATGACAGTTTGTTACTTTTTTCGCTTTAATTACGGAATTGGCACATTTTAAATTTACAAAAATATAATCGCGCGCAAATGGAGATGAAACGCAAATGAATTGGAGACATTACTAATTAGCGCAATCGGGGCCTAGTAGCTTGCGAAAGTCAACTTCTGAAAGTTTTATTACTAGTCTAAACCTCGCTTAATGTGTAGGCGCAGGCCACCGATTTTTAGTTGGCCGATAGTTGGGCCCGATTGTAATTTGTATGAAGAATCGGCCGATATCAAATCGGTATAATGTGCGCACTCTCACACCTGCCCATACTGATTAACAGCCCGGACCAACTATCGGCCAACTAAAAGTTGTGATCTGCGCCTAGGCAAAATTTTCTTATCACTTATGTTTATTCCTATATCTAGAATTTGCCGCGAATTAACTTTTTAGCTGTCGTCTCCTGTCTATGGTAAATCAAGTGCGGCTGTGGGCATGCTGTCAAACTAAATTATTGTAGCTTGTGATCACAATGTTATCAAATATAGTTCCAAAATACTGAACTGTCCTGTGCATGACATTGACAGTGGGGCGCCACCGTCAATACCGGATAGCTAGTTCCGATTTTTGCCATGTTGGAAACCATATAGTTGAACGATGGTAGCGCCCCCTGTCATTGAGTTTGGCGGGACAGTTCAGCGTGGGTCATCTTTAACTGTATCCAATGTCTTAAAACATATAATTAAAAAAATCAATCGGAAAATGGATCCACTATGTGGGCACGATCGCGATGGGCAATCCACAATCCCACAAAACTTATTAGGCTACAAATGATTGCAAGTATTTATTGAGTAGGTGAATAAGTTTTTATGTCATATCTTAATAATCATTACTTAAGTAAATAAAATAAGTAAGTATTAAATAAATAGAAAAACGCGTGCGTGACGCGTTGATGTCGTTTGTTCGACCGTTATCGATCGCGAGTGGAAATCATTTTACTTCTTGCAGAATTGAGGGAAGAATCTTATTTGATAACTATAAAAGTAAGGATAGAAAATTGTACATGATTATTTTATAGGCTTTGGTTAGCTTTGGTTGGTATTTATTGAAAATCGAGCCTAAGTATACTGAAAAACAAAAATCTCTAGCATAATGTTTTTATTAAGTTTCAACTACCAATCGTGTGAACAATTTGACTGTGTTTCATGAGTAAACTCATAAAATGAGGAGTTTAGTTATGAGCCGAGTAAAACTACTGTTTGAAATATGACTTAATAATACAAAGTTAAGCTACGGCACCTGAAAGTAGCAAGTTCGAAAGTGCCGAGTGAGTGTTTATGAATGAGTAAAACTAGTTACTCAATTAATCCTATTCAATGGAATAAGGATAGTTGCGAGTGAATTCCACACAATGCGGTTAAATTATCTCCCTATATGTTTAAAAGTGGGTCAAACCTGTGGGTCAAACTTTGAAGCGAGCGTTTTGCATTCTAAAGGATCGACTGCACCGAAGTATCAATGTCTGATTCCATGCGTGTAATGAGGCTTTGGGTTTGAGTGCGGCGTGAATAGGGACAGTCGCGGGAGCGGGAGGCTGTGGAGCGCATGCGTGGGGCGCAGCGGATGATAGTTGCCAGCCTCCAAGAAGCCTCCACTCGAATCGGGGAAGATTTAATTGTGGGAGATCAGATTTGTCTTATATTCCGAAAGTTACTTTTAAATTATACCTGTTTATAGTTACTGTACAACCTACACAGTTACTTATAAATCAATAATTGAGTAAAATATAGGAAATTTTAGATGTTTATACGTAATCATATTCTTGAACAGTCTTTGAGTATACTACAACCGTTGATCCTAATTTGATACACATTGATATAAAAAAAAAACATGCAGCTTTCACTAATGCAATAAGCTTTACCTTTCTGAAAGGCTTCATGTGTGCAGATATTACTGTTTCTGAAGGAAGCGCGATTTTCTGCGTTTACGAGTCAAAATCTATGTTAAACAGTCGCTAGTGGTTGCTGGTGTTTCGTAATACCCTTTTGGGTGTATTTTGCTAACGATATAGGCTTATAGAAATATACATGTTTTACGATACAAAATTATTATTATGACTTGATTTTAAGCTTGTCAAAAGTGAGTATAACCGTAGAGCTTGTGATTAAAAGATCGGTAGAGTAGGTGGGATCGCACAACGCAGGTCTGGCAAGCGGCTAGCGTCGCCGGCGACGGCCAGTCCCGAGCGAACCTCCGAGCAGGCCAAACCACGCGCGTCCTCCGCGCATTACTCCGAAAACCCGCGACCCCCTGGCCACCCGATGAATTAACCATGACTCGCCACGCCACGCCACTCACCACAGTGTCCCACTAGTTGTTTATGTGACAAACCCGCCGATGCGCCGGTAAACAACCGGTCCAGATAGGGAGGCTGTGCCGGTCTCACGCCTGAGCCCACTCTGACTACGGAGGAATGCGGTAATTTTAACTACTGCGGAGCCGCACCGTTCACTGTTAGGGATCGACGGATTACTGCCCACAATAAGGTAAGTTCAACTCAAAACTCTTTTAAGAATAAATAGCTACGCTACAGATAGTAACTGTAGCTCTACCATATCGACTGTGTTGGGAACGCTTTACTCTTGTTTAGTACTCGTACTTATTCGCGAATAATTTTGCCATTTACGCACTAGAAGATGAATGTTCAAGTTATTTCAAATAAAAAACTTATTTGGGTTTCATTTTTGTTCAGTTTTTTGGCTAATAATAAAAATGGAAAATTTTGTAATCATGAGAGATATTTAAAATTATTACTATTCTTTATGTACTTACGTACCTAAGTGAATGCATGTACATAACAATACAGATTCTTATTAAATTTAATTATTCAAGTTTAAATACGGAATACCAAATAAGGTATGCTTTTATGTTCTCCGTTGAATAAATACGTTAATTACACGCACAATCGGTTGTGAAATACATATTTAGAGAACAACCAAATGAACTGGTGCCTGCGGTATTACATAAATAAGATAGATCACCTTTCGCCTTTAGATCTCGAAATTGATAGGCCGCAATTCAGCAATCGATGGAGAACCATGAATACCAAGTGTTCGTACAATTTTCGCCTTTCATTTTTTATTTATTGCTTCAAAATGTAGAAGAATTGGATATAAAAAGCTGCTAACGCTTTAAAAAATTCTCCTTTTGTCTTGGAAAATGCTAAAGTAAAGTTATTACTGCTAAATATAAATGAATTCAAGTGATAGTACCTACACTTAAATAACAATCTTAGTATAGAGGACTTTTACGTTAAATACACTTGCTGTAAAGATAGTTACCTATTTTGCATCCGAAGTCGACTCTACCGTTTACAAAATCGTTGCCAGCTCCAAATCGCAAGAGCTCTATTCTGTAGTGCTCTCATTTTCTCACGAGCGAAGACTGCGGTCCCAATACCAAATAATGTTATTGTTGTTTTTTAATCCGCTTTCTTCTTATATTTTTATACAAGAGAAACTTTACATACGACTAGTCGATGTCGCTTGAATCAATGTACTTTCACGGATTTTCTTTTATTCACATTTTACAGCGTGTAGAGAATTTAAAGATCCTTCACTATCAAGGATGTTACGGATATCGGAATGCGGAAGCTATCCTAGAAGTTTTCGTATTAAAAAAATCTCAATGCTTCTATTCTCCGGTTTCTGAAACCGGGGAATAGAAGCATGGGATAGTTTCTTATCTCAGCGAATATGTAGCAAGATTGGTAGTTACATACAGGTTTAATGGAGATTTAGATCAATCATCAATAAATTCATAAGAGTTACCGATTTTCCCGCAGTCCCACATGAAAATTGTCACGAAAAAAGGTATTTAAATCTGAAAACATGAGGTTTTGAAATATAAATATTATTTTATTACATGTTATGAACGCAATATTAAAATGCATATGATTATATAAACATGATGTACTACACTTTTCAAGGGTAACATTCATCTGCTTGATGCTCGTAGCTCATCCTTCCGACTTAAATGTTTCTTTGTTGCATTTACATTAACTTTAAAACACATCCGTATATTATAATTTGTAGAACACTATTTCGCTGGGCCTTTTGTGGAGTATTCTTTAATTTAGCTAGTCGCCTCCAGGTAAAATCTTTCTGGAACTCTCTCTCTAAGCAAAAAAACTTAGCATATTCTCAGAATTGGTTCATATGAGTATCTTACAGAAGCAGTTAAAGTAGTAGTTAAATACTATCTAAATTGGTAAAAATTATAACTCGGTCTGTAAACATGATTTAGCGATATTTGCCTGAATAATACACATATTGTTAAAAGTTTTATTTTAATATCGGTATACAGTTCTAGTATGAACTTTTAAGTTAGTAGGTATTTGCTCACCTTATATTACTTCATTTGATATTTAGCTTCTAAGCACTCTTACACTAAAGCTTAAAAGTCTCTTAAGTTAAATTGAACTGAAATTAAATGGTAAGACACTTGCACTTTCTGCAATTCTAATAGCTCGCTTTTGTACTTTAGCCTATCTTAAGTTCCAAATAGTTTGTTGACAATACCGGCCCGGGGGTTATTGCCAGCACTTTGAATATTGTACAAAAGTATCACAAAGGTGCCCACCTCGAAGCACCGCCTTTGTGTCGCCACGACAAGCGGGGTCTCCTATTATTGTCTCTTTACAGGTATTTCGGGAATCAATGTAAATGGCACTGAGTACGGAACAATTTATTACACAAAATCTCTTAAATACATACCCATTAGCCATTTATAAATATTATAGCCGGACATTAAAGAAAAAAGTGTTACGTCGTTTTTCCATATTTATCCTTTTCATTTCCTTAAAATGCTTATTGCTCTGTAAATATTCGTGGGAAATAAAAATAATTGAAATGAAAGGCTCCAACCCACATATCCACCAACACAACGTGTTGACTTATGTTTTTAGTGGCTAGTCGGGATAACCAAATTCAACTCAAAGACCACGTCTGTATTTTTAACCGACTTAAANTTTCATTATTACCTACCTATTTTTTAAAAGCAGCAACCATTAAATAAAATTTAATGATAGTCTAGAGTCCGATTACAGTTTTTACATTTTAAAATTATAAATCTAAATCTAGCCTAAAGAGATAACAGGTAATCTAAAAAGTCGAATATCCTGTTTACTGTTCATATTATTACATTTAATAAAACCGTCAAACTCGTGGGCACGGACGGTAGCGTTAATCAGCTTTTTAAACATCCTGACTCCAGTGCAACGGAGATTTAATAATTCTTTGGGAGTTTGAGGATTGTTTAATTAAAGTCGGTGGGAAAAATCACCGTGTGCCCGGGCAAAAGTTTATTCGGTTCTCATCCAGGCTAACGAGCGTGACCGCGGTCGAGCTAACATCCACCTACTTCCAGGACCGCAGGGAGGCGTGTAGAGGTCACCACTGACGTGAGTTGACGACATTTTCCACTGATTTCGTTTTTATTGTACCTACTCTACTTACTGTTATTGTAAGTGTTTATGCTAGTTAGCCTTACTAAAGGATCCAATAACTATAATAGATACACATATTATTTTTTACAGTAAAACACTACTCTACCATGCACATTTTCCCAAGTTATCTATCTAGGGGAAGAACGGTTTAGAAGATTACCATTTAAAAACTCTACTTAGAGATGCTTATTATTTACAAAGTTTCGTAAAGAAGTGCGGTTAGTTACCTACTTTGTAAAGTGTATTTAACGTAGATATATAGCTGACAAAACTTGTGACTCCGCTTACAAGGGCAATTTTCCTCCGCTTTCAAAGTTTTGTTCAGTTTCTCTTTGATATTACAATGTGCATTAAGCTTACATAATATAAACATGCCGTAGCTGTGTTTATTCAAACGTAGGATAAAGTTGGATGTATAGGTAGTTATCGAATAATAGCTCTATAATTCTATTCTTTCGATTCTTAATTTCAGATTCTTTTAGCTATACCTACCTAAATCAAAATGTTAGTGAGTTAAAGATATTATTTAATAGCAAACGATTGAATAAGTTTTAAATAAAAAATATAACTGTTTTTAGAAGATATACTAGGTACTCATATTATAAAATAGAGATTCTCAGGCAGTGAATAAAAAACATATCCTACTAATAATATAAATGCGAAAGTTTGGATGTCTGGATGGATTTATGTTTGTTATTCTTTAATGCAAAAACTACTGAACGGATTTTGATGAAACTTTACAGTATTATTGTTTATAACCCAGAATTACATCATAGGCTATAATTTATGACAATAGGTGACAAACTAAATTTCACGCGGGTGAAACCGCGGGCAAAAGCTAGCTAGTGTTTTAATAAATAAGTTCACGTCCTCAAATGCAAAATATAACACTTTTCAGGAAAATGTTTACATAATATTTACGTTGTAGCCTAGCGATTTTACTTTAGAATTTATAAATCTACATCGCTAGACGAAACATAAATAGCCCTACAAGTATTTACAAGAAGCGGCGCTAGGGTGCGTTCGAGGGCCCGCTACAGATTAAAATTCACACCACGTAACGGTGTCGTGTGTGACTGGCCTAACGATTAACAATCTGTTTTTTCGTGCCGGTGAAAAAGTAAAAAGCCTGTGCGCAATTCCTAAAAGCAAATAGTAGGGCGGAAGGTACATCGTTATCGAATAGCTGTAATTGGGTTTTTATTTTCAAAAGGTTCCTTTTAAAAAGGTGTACAAGAGATAAGAGCATTGTCTTTTGATCAGATCCTGAACATTAACACATTTAGATAAATTTAAACTAAAAATCACACCATCAAGTATTTATTTTATTTTATTTATTTATTTTACCATAATGTAAAATTAACAAGAAACGATAGTAAGTTATCTTCCTGATTCAAACTGTTCACGCCTCTTTGAGTTAAACCATTCGTAACAACTTACCTATTGAATTAATGCTTATTACGCGGGTGCCTACATGTTTATAGTTTTTCACTGTGTTTACGTTACGCTCTCTGGTTACCGTACCGCAGAAGGTAGACTCTACCATGCTAATGTGCGAAGGGCAGGGCGAACCCTTTGTCTTACCGCCATCGCCACTGGGAAACAGGTAATTAGTGCCATTATTGTATTTCCTTTAACTACTTTCTCACGAGTGCATTGTTTCTTTCGTTTAGACGAATGGAGCTTTTGCAGCTAAAAATAAATTCTTATTAGATTACTCAGTCAGCTTTCGATTTAAGGTGTCAAATAATCCTACTATTGCATAATTATACAGAGATATTTATACGATTATTGTTTAATTGCTTGGCCTGCATATAATATGATTCCATAAGCCCGTGCGAAAACCTGCAAACCGTGTGAAACAATAAAATATGCAAAAAATAATTACTGGTAATTTGGTTTGTATGAGAAAATAAAGGGAACAACAAACTATTTTTGTTCAATCCATAAAATTTGTTTGTAAAATTTAATTGGGCGAGCGAATGGTTTCGACCTTCAACTGTAAGCCCATTTTGTAATTCGAGACTCTGAAACGTTCCG